ACACACACACACACACACACACACACATATACACACACAAATACACACACACACACACACACACTAATGGGCACACAGCTAGTACCTCAGCCACACAGGTGGTTACAAAACAGCTGGCTAATCTGCATGCATCAACTCCATCAACTAATCAAGATGTAACATCACAGTCAACCAACCCGCTTACAGCAACAAAGCCAGCACTCCACACACCCCCGCCAATATTTATAGAAAGACGGCAGGTCCGATCACGCTTTGCTCGCACAAGCACGAAGCCGAAGGCACCAGCCTGAAGATGGCGAGTGGGACCTCATCAAAACGTCGCCAAGATACTCTCAATTTTATACGGGAAAAGACTCAAATATGCCAAGACCTGCATCAGTGTATATGTATCCACATAAGCAAGCATTTATCTATAGCTATTAAAAGGCCAGAATAAAACAAGTATTAAATAAAAACCTTCAAAGAAAAACCAGAAAGTCCAGTTGCCTATTTGACGGGAAAGTTTCCTCTTCATATATGGTAAATATGGTAAGTGGGAAACAAAAAACTGATTTCTATATTCTCTAGAGTTGGTTTTTTATTTTATTTTAAGCAACAGAAGCAATATGCAGTTAGTTCACAATTGCAGAAATATTTTTAAACAAAGATTTATATTTACTAACCTTTGTAATAAAATAAACAGTAATCTGCCAGCACAAACCACCTTCTTTTCCATAATCTCATTCCAGAGCTATCCTGAAACACAAATGACAATATCTAGTAAAAACTTAGAATAAAATAACACAGAAATATACTAAAGAAAATTTTGAATGACTATGTGCCTCTTTAATGTGCTTTAAAGGAGCCAGATATCATAGCATATCATAATCTAGCCTACTTTTGAATGTTTTACAGCTTTTCTATAAGGTAGGGAAAGTTAGAAATTAGCATAAAGAAATTAGCACACTGGAAGAAGAGCCCGTGTCTTGTTAGAAATGATTAATGCACATGTAATAGACATGGAGAAAACTCTCGTACAATATGCTTTGTCCCAGTTTTGTTCCACTGTAATTTTATATCCATAAATCTGTTAATATATCATTATGAATATCAGCATGGTTTAACAGCAGGAATATACTTCTTAATTATATACTACATCCCAAAAGTAGAGTTTATTACTATGAAGAATTTTGGGTTTACTAACATGGGGTGTAATAAAAAAAGGATACATAACCCCAGATTTACAGTTTTGGATTGATGATGTATGTGAACTGACTCTACTGGTGTAACAGAAAAAATGATCAGAAATCCAGTGTGATTAAAGATTAATGACGTGTTTTAAAATGGGTTGAATGACTTTCCTCATAATTATAGTATGTTTTTCTCATTTTATCTTTTCTTGTTTAGTTCATTTCTTCTTTTATCCCCCCTTCTTTATAAATTAACGCAACTTAAAAAAAATTATAATACTTACTTGTTTGTGAAGCCAGCCTCTGACCACAACAGGAATATTAGGGTTTCTCCTTATAGCTTGATCCCTTTTCCCAAAGCTATGAACTTTATTGCTAGATTTTACTAACTAAAAAAAAGAGCATATACAAGGTAAGTAACTAGAACAAACTATATTTAGGATTAACTCAAAAGAAACAGTGTAATAATACAAGAACTGATATTCTACTTTTGATAGTGTAATTTACATTAGTAATTGACTAAGTATTAACAAAATAGCAGAAGCAAACATTTGACAACATCATAATAATGAACTACTGAATGATAAATTCACAACTTTTCAGTCCTTCAAATATTATTGCTTGATTTCTACAAACTGTGAGGTAGTAAAAAGAAAAGTGAAGTACAGGTAGTCTTTGATTTACAATCACAATTCAGCCCAAATTGTCCATTTCTAAGCAAGACAGCTAAGAGAATTTTGCCATGTTTTACGACCTTTTCTGACATAGTGTTAAGTGAATCACTGCAGTTGTTGGTAACACGGTTGTTAAATGAATAGGCACATATTTATATATTTATACTCAGTTCATTGCTAGTTTTCTATTTTAATATTCATGTGAACCTACAGAATAATGTTTCAGTAAGATCAGAACAAAGACACTTTGACACAAAAGCTGTAGAGGATGACCACACTGAGCTTTTACGGAGGGATCATCAAACATGTAATCAGTCCCGAATTCCTTCACACCCAGAAAAGACCTAAGCAAACCACCTTGAATTTTGTTGACTCTTATTTATTGCCAATTTGCTTTGATCTTTTAGTAATTCAGATCTTTGCAAGGAGTCCTAGCATGCAACTGCTGTATTCATTTAAACTGTCTTTTCTACTGATTTCCCGCATTTGACAAAAGCCTTGATATAAATTTACATTCATAAATGAAAAAAAGAACTAGATAAATAATAAAGTGCCATAACTGGCCATTCGATGCTATAGTACAATTTTCTTGGGAACATTTTCAAGTTATTTTGGGATTTATAATTGGGCTTGCAAGAATAAAATATAAAAATACTCAATTTATTTATATTTATATATATTTGTCTTGCATAATAGGACAGTTATTCTTATTTTTGTATTAACAATTTTCATTAAAATATTTGCTCTCTGGGGTTTAAAACAGTTTTTTCCTAGAAGGGTTTACATCCAGCTTCCCTCCACATAAGAGATGCCTATAAGACTAATAATTTGGATTTTTTTGCACCAGAAGAATCAATTGTAAATCCAAGCACCAAAGTATATTTTAAACAAATATTTGCACAAGAGCACTGCACACTTGGGATCAATTCCCTACACACGGATTTAATATAGTATAGTTAGCACAATGCCCCCAAATACAGCTCATTCTCTTATTAAGCTACATTTTGCAAATTTCCTGAAAAACTCAAATTTACCTTGGTTCCAAGTTTTGTTTCTGTAGTGGATGTAGTTACAGCAGTAGATGTTTCACTGACCATACTTGAAGGTCTTTGGTTTATCTGATGTTTGGACATATGTGAATTATGCCTGAAAGAAATATATCACAATTTAATTGATTGTTAATCTTTTTTTAAACTATGATATTAGGATGAACTAACTCTGGAAATGTTTCCATGTTTCTGCCTTACCAGTTCAATAAATAGCTTAAGGTAGATGAAACATCATTTATATCATTAAAAATGGTAAAATCTTCAAATCAAATGTTATTCCTGATGGCTTACAACCCATGTAGCTTTCTTAGCAGCAATACAGGGGTTTGCTATTGTGTTTCTCCAGCATGTTTTTTTTAACTTCCCAGTTTATTTTACAGACCTGGAATCCTCTGAATAATCTCTTAATTCTCTTAATATTTACATCCTAATCAGGCCTGGTCCTTCCAAGGTCCAAAAAAGCTTAGTCAGGTGGTGCTGTGTAATTGCATAATTGGCTTTGAAAAAGGAAAGTATAGTCCTGAGAATGTAATCCAGATTAGGCCTGCCATAGGAACAAAGATTGCAACTTTCCCACCAAACTCTAAATCTAAACTGTGGACTTCCACACTCTCCAGTTTACTTTCTAAAACTTTTTTTAGAATCAACACAATAAATATAGTGCTCAACTTACAACTGTTCGTTGAACAATGATTCGAAGTTGTGATGGTCTTGAAAAAAGTGATTTATGACTCATCCTCGAAGTCACATGCATGGTCACATGGTTGCCATTTTGGGCACTTGGTAAGTGGCGTGCATTTACAATGGTTACAGCATCTTGCATCTGTGATCATGATTTGCTATCTCTCCAGATGACATCTCACAAGCAAAATCAATCGGAGAAGTCAAATTTGCTTAATGACCACATGATTTGTTTAATAACCATGTGATTTGCTTAATGACTATGATAGCAATGGTCATAAAATTAAGTTTGGTCATATGAAGACTTCTTAATGACTGCATCATTCAGTGACCAAAACTTCAGCCCCAATAGTGGCTGTAAATCAAGCACTAGCTCTATGTTTTGGTCTTAAATGTTTTCGGAACTCAAATAGATTATTCTTATTTATTGCAATTATGTTGATTTAAAAGTTTAAAAATATGTTTATACAACTATTCCCCCCTTATATACAACTCAACGCTGCGAACATACCTAATATGCCTTTTTTGTCCTATTTCTCCCACTAACAATAACTTTGTGATGTAATTTGGGCTAAAAGAGATTGACGGGCCCAAAGTCATCCAGCTGCTTTCTCATGCCTAAAACGGAAATAGAACTCTCCTAGTTTCTAGCCCAGCACCTTCTTTGTTTTTTTATTTTAATAAAAGCTTTTACTTTTGTCTTTTGAACCTATGCTGAATAACATTGTATTTTAAGAGTATAATTTGGAACCTAGTTTTTTTTTAATTTGAATTTATTCATTTTTTGCTGCAGGAAAATCCTGCAGCTTATACATTTAATTGTAATATGGAAAGTATGTCTCAACCTCTGTTGTTGCTTTGCCAAATTAAAGCGCTCATTCCATATTGCAGGAGTGTCAAACACGCATCACAGTGGCATCATCACATGTCGTTACGTGATTTTCCTCCACCCCTTTGCTAAACCAGGCGTGGGCGTGGCCAACGTGACGCATCTGGCCTGCCAACCGCGACTTTGACACCCCTGCCATTTTGCATTTTAAATCTTCAAGCAACAGCACAGGTTGCAAAAGAAAAGATGAGACTTAAATTAGCAACATGACAATTTTCCGTCAAGGGTTATGGCTAAATGAAGTCATGGGATATAACATATTGCTGCACTGAAATCTCACTAGGCTTATCTGGTTTAACACAGCCAAATAAAAGGTCTGACAA